AATTTCAGCCAACTTCATTTTTTATTTCCGAAGTGTTGGGATTATTTTATTAAACTTTCCAAGGGGAGGCCTTTTCCTCCCTGCTTCTTAAAATTTCCTCTTCATTACAGCTCTTTGATTATATTTTCCCCTCCTCAAGGAACTTGGGATTAGATGGGTTGAGAATTCCTGGGATGTTTTCATGTAGCAGTCATGTTCAGAAGAGTATCTCCTAGGGGCACCTGGGTGGCTCAGATGGTTAAGCGTCTGCCTTCGGCTCAGGTCATGATCCCGGGGTCCTGGGATCGAGCCCCGCATCAGGCTCCCTGCTCAGCGGGGAGTCTGCTTCTCCCTTTCCCTCTGCTCTTCCCCTGCTTGTGTTCTCTCTCTCTCTCTCTGTCAAAAATAAAATCTTTAAAAAAAAGAAAAAGAAAAAGAAGAGTATCTACTAACCAGGGCTGTGTGGAGACACAGGTTCCCTCTCGGGGACCAGTTGTGAGACACCTCAGATTAGACATTTCTTTAGAGAAGATGTGGAGGACCATTTGAAGACAGGGCAGATGTGGGAAATTGTAGGTGCAGCACTCAGCTTTGTCTGTTACCCCGACGGTTCACACCAAGCCCCGAACACGTGTGACCTTCTTGGCATAACTAAACACGTATGGTCGATTGGACTCGCCCGCCTTAGAAAGCATTTGGCAGCTCTTTTTCTACCATCTCTTCATGGCACACTCCCTTCCCTTGCTAAGTAGTTTAACAAAAAGTTCTTCCCAACTCTATGTTGTACTGTTCCTGCAAGGGCTTCTAGTAAATGATTTTTTTAAAAATCTCTATTCCATACCATTTTCAGTGATAGGCTAGCCCCCCTTGCAGGTTTCCGGCCAGGGAACCTGAGGCCAGGGCTGCGTCCCTGGCCTCATAGGGCTTACAAAACACATAGGAGGTTGTGCAGGTTTTATCTCCTCTAAAGCTTTTCATTGCCATTCCTACAGGCCATTTGCTCTTTACTCATGTCTATTAAAATCGTTTGGGGAGAGTAGCACATGTTGAGAATAGGGTTTTTCAGCCTTGGCCCTACTGACTTTTGGGGCCAGGTAATTCCTTCTTGTGGAGGACTGTCCTGTACGTTATAGGACATTCAGTAGCTCCCTGGCTTCTCCCCACGGGATTGAGCCCCTTACCTCTGAGTTGTAACATTTGAAAATGTCTCTGATATTGCCAGATGCCCATGGGGGCAAAATCACTCCCAGGAAAGAACCACTTGCCAAAGAAAATTAGTTCCCAAAGTACTTGGATGTGTTTTCCGTGTTTATTAATGATGACCACCACAGTTTACTTCATTTCCATGCTTTCCCTCTCCCCCCGCAATATCTACCTTCTTTCATTTCATTTCCTCAATCCCCTACTGGTCTGTCCCCTACACTTAGATTTTTCATATACTCTTTTCTTTCCTTCTGTTCTCCAGACTGTGTCTTTGCTTGTTTCATTTTACTTTCACTGTGTGTGTTCTGGCAGACTCCGGCTCTCCCTTATCCTGTTACTGGCAGTCTGTCTGTGCTGTCTGTCTGTGCTGCCCTTTGATCTCGTCATCAGCAACCTTTTACTTCCTAATCCTTTCCTTGGTCTGGAAGATAATTCTGTATGAATGGGCTCACCACAAAAATTAGTCTCCCTTCACATGTGTGTTATTATGCCTCGTGACCTCTTCTTAGCCGTATGCTTTTTTTTTGGTCCTTCCCTCTGTGCTTATCAGCCTCGAGAACTCTGTTTCCTCCGTCAGACCATAGCTGGCATCTCCTGTACTTGAGCACACCGCCTGTTCCTTGAGTAGCAGGTACCCCTGCTTCTGAACAGTTTGGAACCCATGCAAGTCACCTAGGATCGCTTGCATTTTGTCAGGAGAAACTGACCCTGGAAGTCTGGAGGTGACCCTTCGTGGCTTCCTCCTCTAGCTCTGTTTTCTTCCCCTTCTGGTTTCTCTTAGTCTTGATTATAAACCTGAGTATGCTACACATCGGGGAAAGGTTTGGATCGTGTTAGACTGGCCTTCTGTGGGAAACATTTTATGGCCTGTTGGGGGTTTCCTTCTGTGAGGTCCAAAGCTCTTTCCTTAAGTGGAAAGGGGCTTGTGTTTTGCCAGATCCTCCCACCCGTTCCACAGGTCAAATAATGAGTCTAGTAGAAATATGGAAAAGTTTAGTCCATACGTGTGCCAAAAATTGCCACTATGAAGGCAGCAGTGTAAACAGTGTGACTAATCCTTTCTTTTAAGGAAAGAAGTTGTATGGGATTGTTTCCCTGCTGCTTATAAAGATACAGAGGTTTCCACGGATTCGGGTCTTCAGATGGCCAGCTCTTCCCCTAAGCTCCGGCCTCTGTTTCCTTTTCTGTCTTTCGCCACCTGTCAAATGGATGGCCCACTGCAGCCACACTCCTGTCACTGCTGAAAACGCACTGTGAATGGTGCCAGTGACCTCCCCAACCCAGGCGTGGCCTTTCCTCATTTCTTTCCCTGCTTTTTCTGTTGCAGTTGGCAGGTGGTCCTCTCTCCTTTCCTCCTAGGAACTTTCTTCCATTTATCATTTCTGGACCCACGTTATTCTTGTTTTTCTCCTAATTTCCCCCCCATTTTCTCTTTATGTCTCTACCCTTACGTGTGAATGTCCTCCAGACCATGTGGTTCTGTGTTCTTTTTTTCTGAAACATTTTTGCCTTTGAAGAAGTTGGCTCCTCTTTGAACATCACTTTTCCTCATCTTGGAGGCTTTCCCTAATTGCCCCTCAGAGACTTGCTCCGTGTTCTGTCTCTAACATGATCACCATCCTCACAGACTGACCCTTTCTTCTGCCTGCCATAACTCAGCATGCTTCTTTGCTGTTTCTTTTCCCCTTGGCCTTGAACAAAAATACCTGTCCAGTCAACCAGGCTCGAAACCTTTCCTTGTCACTTGAGCCCTTTGCCTTTTGTCCCCAGCTGTCCTGCATTTAATCATCAAGTCCTATGGGTCCTTCTGGGTCCTTAGCTCCACCCAGCCATTTCTTCATTTATTCCTTTTAAGTATTGTCTGAATACTTCTTGCCCTAGGAGGTGAAGATTTAGCTTATTTACTTCACATCTTACTCCCCACCCTTTCTCTCAAAATCATTATTTCATTTTCATAGCTTGTGTACACCCCAATGGCACATTTAGGCTTCTATTTCTTCTTCTGTCAGTGTCATCTGTCAAGGTCATGAATAGTATCTGATGACCCTGCATTTTATAAGGCAAGGGCAGTGGCTCTCCCAGTCTTCCCTCCCCTTCTCCTCCTCTTCAAGAATCTTCCAACCTTCTCTAGCTAATTCTGTACATTAATATCACCAAAGCTGGGAACCCAGTTGTTTCTGACAGTTATAGCGTTTGTAATATTTTGTCTGTCGATGTACCACTCAGTGCTTGGGTTTCTCTCTCTCTGTCTGTCCTTTGCTCTCATGCATGCTTCTCAAAGGAGAGTGTTCCTAGCATCAAATTTGAGTGTATTCTCCATTTTTCTTTCCAACAGTTGCATTTATACCATATAGTCAAGTGTCTCCAAAATTCATAACCATATTTTCCATTCTTGTGACTCCTTTTCCCCCTGGCATCATTCTCCCAGAGCTCCCTGTCTTCCTGATTTCCCAGCAGGCTTCTTTTTAGGGGAAAAATGGGAGACCAGTCTTTTGAGCTAGGGGAACCCAGAATCCAGAATAAGAAGGCCTTACTCTGGGAGTAGGGAGCAGTAAGTTTTGTGGTTTATACAACCTAGTTCCATTCTTTTAGAGAAGAGTACTCTTTTTTTTTTTCCCCCTGAGAAGAGTAGAAGTCTGACATCTGGATGCTTTGTTTGCTAGAGTTGGGGAGGATAGCTGCCTTTATATATAGATTTTTAGTTAAGGCACCAGTGATCAGCCCTACTTTTTATCACCCTTTGCTTTACTTGGTTTCGGGTCCAAACCTCCTCTGTGTTTCCCAGAGAATATTGTCTCCTTTGTGCCTTTGCCTCACAGAGTGATTCTTGACCAGTGCCCTTAAGCCTACTGGTTGCAACCCATTAGGGAGTCATGAAGTCATGAAATCACTGTAGTGGTTCAAGACTGTCACTTAAAAAACAGATTAGAGGACAAAAATCTCAAAGTGTCCTACACATGCAAAGGGTAAATATTGTTTCATAACACTTGTTTTAGTTATATAAAAACACAGACCCATATGTACATGTGAATTGGGTCTCAAGTAAAATGGACTTCTTACTGCAGGTTGAACTAAAAGAAATTAGGAGAATATTTTTCAGGCCGTGGCTTCCTCCATGCTGCTGCAACAGTCAACATTTCTCAATCCACTTTGAATCTTACAGATTTGTTGGAATATCTCTTGTGGGTTTATTAATGGGTACAACAAACCATATTTAGTACCCTGTGTGGCACAGGTATTGACTAATCTGAAGGGATGCTGGAACAGAGACCTAGGGATCCAGCTCTGCCAAGTGTTAACTCCTTATTTACAGGATTGAAGGGACGTATGTCTTGGGGGCACCCAGTGGAGGGAGGAGGGAGGGGCACTAAAGGTCTTGGGATAGCAGCTCTTTATCAGACCAGAATATTGCCATATTTTAATGACTAGTGTGGCTGTACTGTTGGGTAACAGCCAAATGTCAACTCTGAATTAAATCTTTTTTTATTCCTTAAAATTTTAAGGGCATCTTTGGAGGAAGGTGAGATATATAGGTACCTAAAAAAAAAAAACACACAAAAACCAAAACATTTTGAACCAGAGGTCCTACAGTTTTCATTTCTAACTTAATTTTCTCAAATACTTTAGTTCTCTTTAAAAAAAAAAATTGTAATGCTCTGACAAACCTGATGTTCACTAGTGATAGTTGAGTCTCCCTCCCTCCCCCCAAGCCCCGGGAGGAGGGAAGAATGGAGAAAATCCCAATTGGAATGAAAGGAGAGAGATTATTCCTGAAATACTCGGGTAAAAGAGAAGAGTTAAAGAGGATATGTATTTGTAAGGCTTTTTCATTTGTAACGGATGATGGCGTTAGCGGGCAAAGTGGACGCCAACCATCAAGGGAGGAAGAGAGAAGATGCAAATCGTGTATTTGTGAAATGAGTGATCGCACAGTTTCCTCCGTTTGCCCCATGTGATGCCGCCATCCATGGTTTTGCTTCTTTCTCTGTGGGGCTGTCATGCAGAGTGGCTTCAGTCTATTCCTGTGTGGTGACACACTGGCACTGGGGAAAAGGAAGGGTGATGGAGAAAGGGAAGCGCAGTTCGGGTGTAGCTCCATATTTGCAATCTGTGACTTTGGCAGGTGCTTCTACTGCAGTTAAGACTTAAGTACCATTACACTGGCATTTACTCACTGCTCATTTCCTTAAGTCCATGATGGCTGAGGGTTGTTGCTCAAGTTCGAGACCCGGTAAGCCCGTCTTCCTTGTTTGTTCATTACTTTCCAGTGAGGTGCTGGGAAAAGGAGCCCATAGGTAAGCTTTCAGCTCATTTCTTGGTGCCTCTCACTTCCTTGATTCAGAAGGGAAAGAAGGGAGGACCTCAACTAGGAGGCAGATCTCCCCCCGCCCCGACCCCGAGTCCATCCTACCTGGCAACGGTCAGAGCTGGATGCTGTCTTCTCGTGAACAGGAATACTTCTGCCAGCAGGGGCCAGCAGCATAGTGACAGGATGACAGCATCGCTGGGGAGTGAGTTGCCCCGGAGATGAGAAGGGCTTCCTGTTTTCACGAGGCTGATGGAGTAGACTTGTTCTTATCACTCACCGCCAGATGTGTCCAGCTGTTACACTTTCTACTCAATCCCAACCAAACACACTTAACGTTCAAACCAACACTTACATCATCAAAACAAAAGTGTTTACAACGTTAAGCCTTACTTAGGCTTTTAGCAATTTGAGTCATTAGTCTAGTGATAGAGGGAGTACCCTTTCATGGAATTGTGTCTGGGAAAACTCAAGTCCAGGGTGGATTTTCCTAGGCTTTCCTGCAACTCCAAGCTTTAGAGTGGTGGATCGAGGTCCCTGACTTGCTAAGAGGGAAGCAGTCTTCATCCCCCCCTCTTCCTTCATTCTCGTGGACGCCTTGTCCTGCAGAATAGCTCATTCATCAGCTCCAGTTAGAGTCAGTCACATAGACTGACTTTATTCAGGACTGTTCCTGCTTTTGAGGAGACACTGTGTGGTGGTGTTTTGGGTGGCTTGACAATTGACCTTTCATACTCCCCTGTCACAGTGTCATTTCTTCCTCTCATTTAGAGTCCCTCATTAGGGACAATCTTTGGGGCTTTGGGGTACCTTATCAGTGTGATTATATCCCAGTCAACCATTTCCCAAGTTCATGTATCATAGTTTGGAAATATTTTGATTGGTTTAGATGGCTTTAATGTGCCACATTTGATAAAATTCAAGGTTACTACTGGAGAGGTCACCTTTCATAGGCCCAGTTTGCTGCTAAAATGCTCTGTCTCAGCAGTTTTGGTAGCAATTAAGCATTTTTTGGAATTGGTGTATCTTTATATTGTTTGATTATTTATTAGTCTTGCTTAGCTAATGATTTTAGTTCTGTTCCCCAGGGAATTACTAAATCTGGGCAAAGGTTTATTGTTTTAAATTTTACATGCTGAATAGTATTCCATTGTGTATATATTACCACATCTTCTTTGTCCATTCATCTATCGATGGACCCTTGGGCTGCTTCCATATCTTGGCTATTGTAGATAATGCGGCTATAAACATTGGGGTGCATGTATCCCTTTGAATTAGTGTTTTTGTATTGTTTGGATAAAATACCCAGAACTAATATAACACTGTATGTTAAATATACTGGAATTAAAATTAAAAAATTATTTAAAAAAACAGTTTCCATTACATGTAACAAAAGAGAACTGTCATAGAAAATGGTTGGGCCGGAGGGTGAATACACAGTCATTGTGTTTAGAAGTCCCCAGAGTTCTTGATTCGTGGTATTGAAGAAATGAGATTGTGATTAGTCATTCTTACCATTGTTATTATTCTTAGGAACTAGTCATTGTAAAACATTTAACCAGAATAGTACGGTTTTAGTTATTATGAGATACAGCATAAAATATTTAAATGTTAACTAGAAAAAGTTGAATGTTTCTTCCTTATCATAATTATATTTCAAAAGATAATTTAAAAAATTCTTTTTTTTTCCAGTTTTTGTGTGTTCAGATTTTTTATGAGCATTTTTTCTTTGCCCTGTGTGACGGAGGTTCTGTGGTACAGGTTAGGAAGGTGAGGCTGAGAGCTTGCCCATCTTCTATCATTAGGAAGGTCCCACCCTTTACTCTTCAGGCTCTGACTGTTGAGAGTTAGTTTTGCATAACTGATCAAGCGCGTGATTTCTTGCATAGCCTTCTTTCTGTTTTTCCTTCTTCCTTTCCCCTCTTTGCATTTCTAATACTGCCTACTTATCAGTGTATTTCAAATGCACTTTTTAAATATATGTACCTGCTCATGTATAGGTCATTGTCTTTCTTACATATAAATGTCCTGTGTTCTGCATACAGGCTGTGGTAACTTTGCTCTGAATCCTGTGATAGAATCCACCTGTGGTGGCCTCTTTAGCCTATGCTTCTTGACTAGAGAGGCAGAGTCCCTTTTAAGGATTCTCTCTCTTTCTTTCTCTCTCTCTCTCTCTCTTTTTCTAGATTATTGAGAGAGAGAGACAGAGAGAGAGAGTGCACGAGCTAGGGGGAGGGGGAGAGGGAGACAGACTCTGCTGAGTGTGGAGCCCGATACAGGGATTAGTCTCACAACCCCCAGATCATGACCTGAGCCAAAACGAGGAGTCGGATGCTTAACCAACTGAGCCACCCAGGTGCCCTGAGTTAAGGTTTCTATGTGTAAGTGGTTAGTTCCTTGTGTTATAAATGGTCAGCTATAGTATTTGAAGGAAAAATTGAGCCTTGTGCGAAATCTCTTTCCTTTTGAGTTTAATTTCTTATTTTTCCCATCTTAGCCTTATAAATCCATAATTAATTTCCCTATCCTGGCTTTGTTCTTCCCAGAGTGACACCCCTTTCCTCACAGAATGTGATGATTCATCACGGCCAGACCCAGGAATATGTGCTCAAGCCCAAGTACTTTGCAGCGCAGAAGGTGATTTCGGGAGAGCAGTCCACTGAAGGTTCGTTCCCTTCGAGATACGGGCAGGGTCAAGTCACGGCACCTTTTCAGTGTGAGTATAGTCTGGTCAATGATTTTTCTAAGTTACAGTATCATAGTTTGGAAATACTTTGTTTGGTTTAGATGGCTTTAATATGTCACAGTGGATAAAACTTCAGAGTCGTAAAAAAAAACCAAAACAACCCAAACACAACAAACCCACCCTGGTTCCCCAAACAACCAGACAGTGGCCCATTTTCTTTATTTGGAGGAAAGGCAGTTTCCTTGGATGTTGGCAGAGAATCTGCAGTGACCTGCCTGTAATTCTGTTTCTGCAAGATGACTCCATTTCTGAGACATACTTGTTCTCCTTTTAGATACAGTTGTATGCCCGACCTGTTTACATTGATAAAATATTTTCTTTAGTAAGCTAGCCAGGATTCATGCCCTGTGAAATGTCTGAAATGCCCTGCATTACTCTCTGAGGTTCACCTCCAGCGGATATTTTTATGACATGAGGTCCACTTTCTAGTCTATGGAGCAGATGGTGTGTCAGGTTTTCGTCTGAATTTGTAAAGAGCGATTGTATCCGAGGCCAGCTTGGTTACTATCTCACTATGTGGGAAGCTCAAGGACAAGCCCGGGTTCAAAGGGTGGGGAATGTGATGATTTGTGGTTTAGGTATTACGGAGTGTCTGCTTGCAGCATCTGGAGGAAACGTTCTGGAGTGAGGCGCAGACCATTCAGAGCCGAGAGCTAGACACACGCCCTCCTTCCAGCAGCTTCCTGCTCCGTCTCACACTGACTTATTGCCTGAGCCACAAGTAATAGAGGAGAATGCCAGTTGTTCGGTTGAAAAGGAGTGTCTTTCACCACCAAACACAGTGCAAAGAGCTGAGACAGAGTTTTTACGACTGTTGGGCCCTTCAGAAGTCTGTATCTGTATGGGTTTCATTCCCTGGGCCCATCCCCACCTCCCTGCATTGGTCACCATTCTAGAGTGATTGACTCTTCCCTTAGAATTGGTGACTTAAGAAAAAGTATCTCGTGTAAGGTTTGCACCTTGTATTTTTCATCTTTTGAGAAAATTCTGCTCCGTGACCTGAGGCTGGATTCCCCAGAGCAATAAGGTGATGAGATTCACAGGGCCCATGAGGACAGCAAGCTCTGGGGATTTTCAAGAGGGAAGAATGGAGAAATCCTATAGATTATCTCCTTGTCTTTTTGGCAAGATACTTTCAAGTTATTTGCATAACAATAGAGGTGTCCATCTTGTTTTTAAAGACCCTTTGGTGTAAGTGCTTCATAACCTGTTCTTTGTGAATATCCCTGAGTATATAATATTTTTCTAATCTTAATTTAAAAAATAACCCCAAAGAGGTATACTTATTATTTCTTTGGGTTTTTATATAGATCAGGGATTTCGTAGAATCTTTCCAGAATTAGAATGTGATGGGAGGAAAGTTTTTGGAAGCTTATAACCTTACTGGTAAGGAAGAGAATTTTGAACTCTATGGAAGTGTCAGGAAAAGGTGGTCTGAGAATCACTGGTATTGAGTCTAGAGCCGGGACTGGTTTGGGTTTGTTGATGATTCGTTATTGGAATGACTGGTCCCACGATGTGTGTGTATTTTAAACTCTCAGACCTTTGTTGAAGTGTCTTCTAGAAGATGAAATTATATTTTAGAAAAACAGGGAGAGAAGTTTATCTGTATTGTCCATAAATTTCCCAACCTTTCTGTTTAAATGTAGTTTTTCCATAGCTGGGAGCTAGTATAGTAATTCACACTAAGACATAGTCACAGTGATGGGGTTCTCTGCTCAAAGTCCCCAGGAGTTAATTGCTGTTCAAAAGAAAAAAAAAAAAAAGGCCCAGGAACTAACAGAAATAGGCATATAGAAAGGCCAGGAAAGGCAATGTGGCTATTTTTTGCTGAGCCCGAAACTCTGTTGAGAGCTGGAAGGCTAATGGGAAAGTTTTGAAAAGAGGTAATTTGGCAGGACCATGAGAATATGGAAATAGCAAAATTGAGTAAGAACAACAATAGAAAGATTAAAACTAGGAAGGAGGAACGAGTAATACTAAGAACCTAAAAGTAATGTCTCCCCACATCAGCCTCACATTAGATGAAAGGAGCCCCCAAGGACACCTTACATGTAACAGAAAGGAAGAGAAAGTTAGTAAGGAAGTCTGAGGAAAAGCAGGAACTTTTAGTGTCTTTAATTTTATCTTTATAGAAGAGATCAAATGTAAACAGATGAACCTCTCATTTTGCTGAAGACTTTTAAGGTCCAATTTTAGGAGTAGATAATTCTGACTCATGAGAAAAACAAGATATTACCAGCAGGTGGGGATAATATGTCTTGGAAAGAGACTTAGCGACCAGTGTCATAACAGTCCACTGCCGTAACTTTTGGGAAGCTTTGGTGACTAGAGAAAACACTGAGGTTGGCAAAAGACAAGTGTTGTTTTCCCTGTTGAATTGGGATAAAAAAGGTGGTCTACTGTAATGAATGTAGGTATAATAATATCATGCAAACAGCATCCATGA